TAAATCGAAATATTGCGAATCGCGAATCAAATTACCTTTATCTTTGATCTTCGTCACTTAAAAAGCTTCGATCGTCGTCGTCTCTAAAAATACTCGATCTTCGTCTCTAAAAATCCTTCGAGGTGATTCTGTTTGGGAGAGGAAACGAAAGAGATTTCGTTATTGTAAAAGGGGCAAAGTTGTCCAAACGGACAAAATATGTGGCATAATTGTAAAAGGCTTCTCAGATATTGTACGCTTGTAAAAAGTGACCACATTTGTGGCATTTTTGTAATTCTCACAAGACAAAAACAGCATAATGGTTCTTGTTTCCCACGTACACAATCTAGATAAATTCCTATTTTATATTTCAATAGTTTGTTGTTTAGTAAATTATTAATAATAAATTAAGATACCACTGGTCCTTTATTAGATTTAAAAAAAAATTCAAAAATATAAACATTATCTATAACTAGAAAACTAAAATGAACATGTAAAATTGAACACATTTACAAACATAAAATTTTAATTTCAACATACACAATTTAAATTATATTTTTCATAAATTTTATTAATTTATTTTTAAAAATTATGCTATTTCCACAAGATCTAGTTGTTACCATTTGAATTCAAATTTTTTTCGTCTGATTCCTCAAAAAGTCTCCAACTATAAATATAAACATAAAAATTTAAGTTTCAAAAAATAGTGTTTAATTAATAATTTTATAATTTTATTCAATTTTTGTAAAATTTAATAAATATTTATAAAGATAAATATTTTATTGTGATAAGACAATTTAAATTAATATTTTCATAATTTAATTAATTTATTTATCTTTAAAAATTCTGCTATATTCCGCTAGATTCAGCCATTACCATTTGAATTCAACATTATTCCGCTATATTCTGCGAAAAGTCATAAATAATTCTGCTACATTCCGTAATTCTGCCACACCCAATATATAGCTCTCTTACTGCAATAAACGAAGTTCCAAATTTATGGACAATCTAACAACCAGCCGCGTACTGCGGGCCCTTTATTACATATTAAGAAGAATTGCAAAAAATCATTTTTGAGAAAAATATATTCTAAATGTTAAATAGTTAATCCAAACTCAAAAGTTTAAAAGCGTTTGTGTGTTTGCTTATGCGTTTTCTTTGAGAATATTCATT